ACATTTCAACAGAGCAATGTAACATTTGCAAACAACTTTTTTCTTTTTCTTTTCTTTTTTCTTTTTTCTTTTTTTTTTTTTTTTTGAAACATCATAAGACATGTGCTATCGGGCCTATACTGTTGTAGGTTATTCCAGGGTACACCATCAATCGATGGAGTTACCCCTAACCCAGCAACATATTATTTTATGATTATGCAAAGCGACTTGAGTTTTTTTTTAATGCAATGGAAGGCGAAAAGTAAAGTCACGAACACAGTTTTTTCTTCCTTTTTTCTTTACAGCAAGATGATGTTTAGGTTATCATTAAATAAAGTACAGAATTGTTTATTATTGGTGTTTTGTCTATTCTGATTTGTTTTGCTTCGCATTCAAAATATCATAAAACAGATTTTGTAATGTTAGCATCATAATGTTAATTAGACTATTATAGGTTGAACTGAAAGAAAAATTGGAATTTGAATAAAACAAATATAAAAAAACATTGTAGCAATATAATATCGTATACTATTTTTCAGAAGATAGATCTGTAATTGTATCCTTCCATCTGTTACAATGAGTTTTTTTTTTTTTTTGGCACATGCATTAAGCAGGTAACGCAAATATTTATTGGATAATTTATTTGGAGACTGTTAATATTGCATCCTGTTGTTTTTTAATTGCATTTGGATAACCGTACGCTGGACTCTGTGTGTGGTTGTTATTCGATCTGTTGAACAGCAGGAGGCGCTGTGGGGTCTGAGAATGCGGGACTCTCGGTGGGGGACTGTAGATGCAGGCTCCGAGTCTGCAGCTTCATAATATTGCCCTAGTGGCACAGCACAAAATTGACAAATACAAAGTGAATATGGCTCATACAAGAGTGTTTGTCAACCTTTTCTGATTCTAAGTCACCCCCTCCGATACAGTAGGTTTTTTGAACAATTTAAAAAAGTATGATCCTTTTTACATTTTAAGAACTCACTAATGCTCACCAAACCATTAATTTGATAACAATACAGTAAAAAGTTGTGCAATTGTTGTATTGTTAAATATTCCAATTTCAAATAACTCTTTTCTATTTAAATATATTCTAAAATGTAATTTATTTCTGTGATCATTACTACTACTAGTTTTTCAGAATACTTAAATGTGCATGAATGGATGATGATGGATTTATGTTACTGATATGTATTTATTTATTATTATTTGCAACAAAAAAAAGAAGATGTTTTTAAACATCAGTCCACAATCTCTTTAGAAGTATTTCCATGGAACCCCAATAACCCCAATAAGGGGCATTCATGCCCACTATCTCTTTCTCACACACACACACACACACACACACACACACACTTTGTGCAAATTCAGTTTGTCATTGTTTGCAGACAAGGTTGCATTCTTGTTTTGACAGACAGGTAATGTTTTCCCATTTAGGCCACATAATGTCGCTCAGCCTCATTTAATTTACTGCATACCATTTAAGATGTGGCTCTGTGAGCCTCTGTGATCAGGAGAGAGCTGTCAGCTCGGCTCGCCTGAATGCCTGCAGCTGAACCGGCTGTGGGCTCAGCTGATGACAGGGAAGTCATTTAGCTCCAGTGACAGGCCTGAGAGAGCGAGAGCTTGAGACTGCTCTAAAACCAGTCTCACAAAGGAGAGAATAGAGCGGCTCATGAAGGGATGCTTTGTGCATCAGGGAGGATGAGCCCTCCTGGTCTCACACCCATAGATCCGGTGCGATCGCATCATGCATACCGCCGAGGTGCCTGTACAACCCTCTATATCCAGTCTCTAGGATCGCTTCTCATGCAGGAAGAACCTCAGGTGTCTGAAGACGCCGTTATTCTGAAGGTGTTGATGATCTTTGGCCCGCTTCTGCAATTTGGAAACTCCTGGCGTACGTTCTCCGTGACCTCGGGTTCAATCATAAGGCGCTGAGGAAGTGTGGCCTGCTTTGTCAGACAATCGGCAGAGCTGCAGTTTTGAGCTAACAGTCCCTAAGGGGGCTGAAGGCACAGCGAGGGTCCTGAACCTCGATGTGATGCTGTTGAAAGACAGGATTTCCCTGGACAGGAACCTTTCCCTAGTCGGACCCCCAACCTTCTCTGGCCCTGTGACCCCGTCCTGTACACTAGAGCCCCCCACCCCTCATCGTCACACTGGAGGGAGTGTGGGAGGCTTGAGCCTGGACAGGAAGCCACGAGTCTTCCACAAGCTCCTTGGGGGTCATCGCTAGTTTCCCTCTACTGTAGCCATACTTGAGCCGCCCTCTCGTCCCATTGTTCTGGCCCAGTAAAGCCACACACGTTTCCTCAAGAGTTATTTTTTGCCTGACCTGCTATGTTGCCTTGATTTATAATGGTTTCTTGAATGGGTCTTTCCCTTTTCTCTAAAAGTGAGGTCACTTTTACCGTTGCTCAGAGAAATTTCGCAGGCGAAATCCAGTCATTCCCATAGGAGCGTGTGTGATCAGGAGTTTTGCGTGAGGACAATGAAGTTCAGATTCGCTCATGTTCTTGTTTGCCTGAGAAAACGAGAAAACTTTTTGTGAGAAAACGAACAGTATTTATATCGTTTTTACCTCTTGTAATCACAGTGACGTCCAAATGATCTGAATCAGTTGTGCAATGTCCAGCTGAACCGAACTGAATCAGTTGCTTGCGTGTGACGTCACTCAATATTTACACGGAGATTTCGGAAGTTTTACCTTTTACTAAACATATTTAGATATACCGAAATCGTCTTCCATTGCGGTTTCCCGTATATCTAAATATGTTTAATATAAAAACTTAAAAAAACTTAAGTTTTTAAGTTTTTTTCGGAAGGTAAAATTCCGAAATCTTTGTATAAACAAAGAGTGACGTAGGCGCAAGCGATCACACCGAAGAGCCCGTGCCGTCAGATGATTTTGTCATGGCTTTGATTACAAGAGGTAAAAACGATATAAATACTGTTCGTTTTCTCACACAAACCGCTCGTTTCGTGTCTTAGGCCATCAATGTGTACTTACATTTACGAGTCATTAAATCATGTTTAATTTTGACTTCTCTGTGCATGCTCTTTGGTGGACCCACTTAGACTCTAGTGTATGACTGATAGACAACAACGGTTTGACTGAAAAATGTCAAAATTAAAAATACTGTGGAAACAAAGACACCTACATCTTGGATGCCCTTGAGGTAAGCTAAAACATATCAAAAATTACTTTCAAAGTGAACTATCCCTTTAATGGAGTGCCCGTCACCGAAAGCAACTGATATTGCTGCATTATTGATCATCAGCTAATTTCAAAAGCAAAGACAGCAATAAGAGAGAGCGGCAACAGCCCTGGTAAGATCATTTCGTTTCTTTACTTATATTGAAGATGACTTTCACTTTGATTTGTGATAATTTTCGGTGCATTGGCTTGATGAATAGATACTCAGCTGCTCATCTGAGGTGATGCGTGTCGCAGTAGCGTCGTCATATCTGACTATCCAACGCACATGGCACCCTTTAACGTGAAATGAGACGCAGATATATTTGGGCAGATGGCGCCCCCTAGTGGTCTAACCCTTACCCCACACCATACCTAAACTTAATCATTAACCGAAGCGTCTCATTAGACGTTAAAGGGTGCCATGTGCGTTGGATATTTACGCTTTTGCAAAAGCGTCCTATATGGCGCTTTGGGATGAGAACGCGTTGGACATATAGCCTATAACACACATTTTTGGGAGCAGTAAAATTTAAATATGTGGTTTCAACAACCAGATGCATTTACACTTGCGGCCCAGACCACCTCCTGAAGAAGTGTGAGCGATCGGATTCAAATTCATCTCAAATGCATTTCGGAGAGCATTTACACCTGGTCTTTTCACGATCGGATAGCTATCCGATCACAGAAGTGGCCAGGTGTAAACAGCCCCAAAGAGAGACGCTGGGAAAACTGGGTCACATTAGCAGGCAAACATACTAACAAACACTAAACGTGACACCTGTTTACAGTCGGGACTCTGGTTGTTTGTGAATGAATCTGTTAGTGTGTTACGTGTGCTTGGAACAAAACTCTTAAATCTATAATTTTTTTATTGTCATGTTTTTAGTCTCAAATTTAGAAAATCTATTTAAAAAAAACTGTGCTATTTGTGTGAAATAAGTGTCACAACATGTGATTCACACTTGCAGGACCGTAAAAGATTTACCCAATCTGTATTTTATTGTACTGATCTGCATAGTTTCAGCTAAACTGTAGCATCCGATACGCATACACGAAATCTAATAGATGAACAACGACACATTAGATCTAGTTTTATATAAGCTATTGTTAGCTTTTTAAGTTCTTCGCATTATGCATCCCTCTGCATCAGGTTTTGGCGTCATGATATTGTTGATTTCACAGTTTAAAAGGAAGTAGATGAAAGCTTCTGTAATTGAGTGTCAGTGGTTAAAATCTGAGGCTTTGATGAGGAAGACAAATACACATCCGCGGTGATCCATCAATCACTAGAGTCACAGAGGAGAATGAGGGTCCATCAGTTTGTCTGCTGGCTTTGATTGCTCTTAAAATCACCAACAGGAGGAAAAAGACCTTCTTCAGGACGAGACACCAGAACACGGACCCTTTTTCATGAGCAATATCCACAGACTTTAATGGAGTGGATCCATTTATCTAATATATATATACCGGTAACATAGAACTCAAATTTCCTTGTAAGCTGCATATTTAAAAAGCTGAAGAATCATGTAAATATTTTCTCTTTAAAATAATTTGTACTATTTCATGATAGAGTTAAAATTACAAACCATTACTGCTGCTTTTCAAAAATATGAATATCTTTCAATTCAATTAAAATGAGCTTTATTGGCATGAATAAGTAAAATAGCACAATATTGCCAAAGCAATAGACATACACACCACATGTAGATAAATGAAAGTGAACAATAAAAAATAGAACAATACATTTCCATATTATGCATAAATATATGACAATAAAAATATATATATACATATATATAATATCCAAAAAAAAAAAAAAAAGTACAGAGAGCAGTTTAAGGTAACCCTCATATGATGGCACATGCGCTGCCAGGTAAATACTCTCTGCTTTCTCTCCCAAAATGGGGGTCACTCTCTGTGTGTCTTGCCCCGTATTTGAGAGCACCGTGATGTAGCTCTCCGTCTGCGTGAACATCACTGCTCTCTTCTGGATTTCAGATAGGAGAGGGAATCTGCCTAATTCTGCCAGACTTGAACGTTTCTGTGAGTTTCCAGGATTTTCTTGCAGAACTCAAGGTGGAAAGTTTCAGTGGGGGTTTTGTCCTAGGATTCGGAATTTTGTTTAAATTTGGGGCCCCAGATTTCACAGCCGTATAGAAGGATGGGTTTAATACTGTCAAAGACTTTCAGCCATAGTTTAATGGGTGGGTTAAATTTGAACTGGGGTTTTCTTATACTATAATAAGCCCTACGTACTTTATCAGTCAGATTTTTTAAGTGTCAAATTTTCCAGAAGCTGAGATTGTCAGACCTAAATAATTATAACAGATGACATGATTAAGGATTGTTCCCCCAAGCGTAAATTTGTGTTTCTTGTCAGTAAGGAGAGTTTTTTTTTTTTTTTTTTTGAAAGATCATGATATTGGACTTCTTCATGTTTGGTAAGGCCCAGTCGCTGTTGTAGTGTTCTAGAAGCGAGAGGCTTTGGTGCAGACCCTCTTCATGAGGAGATCATCAGCGTATAGGAGGCTTTTGATTTCTCTGTCCTCAAGGGTCAGACATGGACAAGAGGACTTCTCAAGTGTTGATGCTAATTCATTAATATAGATATTAAATAGAGTTAGGGTGAGGCTGCAGCCTTGACGGACTCCTTTAGTTTTACTGAAATAATCATTTGTTCCCATTGTATATGTCCTTATGATGTCATTTGTCCTTCCTCCTATTTCATTTTGGATTAGTTTCAGGAAAACTAATCCAAAATGTTCCCATTGTATATGTCCTTATAAGGACATACTAATCATTTGTATCATTTGATTGTATGTCAAAGGACATACAATCAAACTAATCATTTGTTCCCATTGTATATGTCCTTATGATGTCATTTGTCCTTCCTCCTATTCCATTTTGGATTAGTTTCAGGAAAAGTCCATTATGCCATGCCGAAATGCTTTTTTAAATTCAAAGTCTCTCTCTCTCTCTCTGATGAGTTGATCAGCGACGGCAAGGCTCATCAGCCCAGCGATTTGTATGTGCTATCTGTCCTGTGTTGTCAGATTGTTTGTTGTTCTTCTTCCGTCCAGTTCCTGTTCGATCTCTCTGGAATTTCTTCGTGTTCCTTTGGGGATTCTTTTCCCGTGTCTGTGGACTCATCTCAGCTGGTTTCTTCACCAGGATCATTTGCCAACTGTGTTCCTCTGTTGCCAAGATCGGCAATCATCTGCACTAACCTTCTGACCCTCCATCTACTACATTCTGAACTTGCCTAATAAATTGTTACTATATAACATATGTGACTGAATCCCCATTATTTGCCTGTGACAATATGTACATATTTAATTTTATGCAATGAGATTATTTTATGCTGATTTCAAAATTGTTTTCTTGCATATATATTTTTTGGGTGCAAAAAAACTAGGTCTGCATGGCCAATCATCCCAACCTGATGAGGTAATTAGAGCGCAATTTGAAGACTGGGACTGTTCTTTCCAGTATCTGAAACAACAATGAAGACTCTTTGACTTCTAGTCAGTTCTGAGTATGATAAAATCATAGTAGAGAAATCCTGGCTAATGATCCGTTAATTTCAGTGATCTCTCACCCTTTTGTTATTGTGGTGCCATCGATCCATTTCCACTCTCCCTCTGTTTTAATCAGACCAATCCAAAACTTAGCATTACCTGCAACCTTCTGCATAAACTCCTGTTATGATAAAACCGTAATATAATATATAGTAGTAATAATTACAATAACAGTAATACATCTTTCTCTCATCTGTTAAAACCCATGTGTGTCAATGTGCACAAACAAAAACTAAATCGTTTTCTTTCTCACTCACTTGTTCCTCTTTGCTGTTTATGATCACCAGATCTGCTCCTCTCTGTTGACAGTCTCGTCTGCTGTCAATCCATCTCTTCATCTCAGATGAAATATAATAAAAACTGAAGTTGCAGTAAATCCATTTAAAGTTGTCAGCACGCTGATCTATTAATACACCAGTTTAGATATTAGTTTACACAGTTTAGCTTTGTTCGTGTTGAAATTTATGAACAGACACTTGATGTTTAAGTCAATGCTTATATTTATTGGAGTGGAATGATAAAAAAAAAGAGTATTTTTAATGTTTCAATGAGGAAAAACACAAAATTACCTTGTTTGCAAATGCCACGTTGGAGTTTATCAATCTTGTTATTAATCTGCTCTCTTTCCTCAGTTAGATTTTTACTGTGGTTCAGTGTCTGCTCATATTTGGTAAGTATCTGCTCTTTTTCTTCAGTCAGATTATTACTGTGGTTCAGTATCTGCTCATATTTGGTGAGTATCTGCTGCCTTTCCTCAGTCAGATTATTAATGTGGGTTAGTAACTGGTTTCTCTCGGTGGTGAAATACACACAGAGCATCATAACAGCAGTCAGCAGAAGAACACACAGCAGACACAAACACACTTCAACTGCTCTGTGCCTTCTGTTCTTCACTGAGACACTTCCTGAAGACGACAGACAAAATTAAATTAGTCTTCACACTTCTACTAAATTCTGATGAACTTTACTATACAGATTTGCTCAATCGCTCAATATTCAAACAAGATCTCTCAAAATAATAAGTTCAGATCTCTGAACAATTCATTCCTTGTTCAACCAAATTTGAACGACTTTTTATTTAAGCAAATTGCAGGTGTTTTGCGCAAGTGTTTTGGTGCAAAAGAGTAAGTACTACATAATATCTTAATGCACTTGGCTTGATCAAAACTGACGAGTTGCTTCTCTGTAAAATTATCATACTATTCAACACATCTTTCATTGTGTGAACCATTCATTTATCAAAATCTGTCAGATATATGTTTCATTTCTAAAAATATTTATGACAAGACATGTTTTGCATCTCATTTGATAACAAAAAATAAAGAAATGTTTTGGGTGAGTAACTGCTTTTTGTGGACATGATGTCCCATAAAAGATTTGTGACAATTGAGTTTAGAAAATGTAAAGACTGTTTAAAAAATAAACTAAAGGAACTGGGAAAAACGCAAGAGATACTACAATTCCTCTGTCTGTTATGTGTATCAGATGAATTACGTTACCAGTGTGTTGAAGTGGCGGATGTCTCTCTGTGTTTGTCCTCAGATCAAGATGTCTCTCAGTATCTGCACTGTCATAGATATCCACCATCATCTCCACTCTTTCTCCTCGGTCCATTTGCGCAGTCTCAGTCATCAACATCACATCATCATATATTTCTTCAGTTATCTCTGATCTCTTGATGTCATTCATTATAACACTGTTAATAGTTAATGCTGCTGTTGTTCTAGCTTCAGATGGTGTAGGCTGCAATGCTTGGCATATCATCAGCCTGTTGGAAAATGAGCGGAAATAAATAAGTCAGAAAAAAACACACAATGAAACTGTAAGTGACAGTTTCAAGGTGTGAATCATGTGACCTTCAAGTTACCAAGACAGGAAGGATTGAGACGTGCCTATTCACACCTAGAGTCTAAAAACAGAACAGTTTCATAAGAGGTCAGGCAATCATCTCATAATTTTCTGTCTTTTTTCTAAAGTTGAATTTTGGGATTTTGGGCACCAGATGGATGTGCAAAAATTATTGTTTCAAACATGTTTCCTCAAACAATCCCCCTTTGTCTTCCCTTGGTTGGCAAGCAGACTGGTCCTGTCTTTAGACAACAAAAATTTTTACAGGAAGTGTAGAGATTGCAGACAGTACCGCCACAAATAGTACCCGGTCGTCATAGAGACGCCTTTCATTCCTTGTTGCCACGGCGTATTCTTCCAAGTTTGACCACGGTAGTGTATAATAGTAGTGTAATAATAGTACTAGTACGTTTAGTAACTATCTCTGGCCAAACTATTTAAAAATGGCAGGGATATTCCTTTAGCGTCATTTAGAACGCTATATTACAAAACGGCGCTACACATATGGCACCCGTTATCGTTAATATAACACGCGCTGTGATGGTTAGGTTTAGGTGTGGGGTAGGGTAGGGTAGTCTCTTATTACGCGAAAGGATTTATGACACCTTGGGTTCGCGTGAATATTAACGATAAAGGGTGCCATGTGCGTAGTATAGCGCCGTTTTGTCATATAGCGTTCAATGTGACGCTAAAGGAAGAGAACGGGCTGGATATTCTGAATACCCCATCTGGCATGTGCAATGAACTCAGCATCCAGTTTTCCAGTTTTCTTGCTGGATATTTATGTCACAGGTTTGCATCTTTTTGTTTCTATGAAAACACGGCACCCATGCCGTAGGATAACGCATCTGATCTGCACCAACTTCTGTCTGTCTTCCAGCACTTTTGGTAAACTCAATGCCTCTTTCAATCTGTGAAATGTTTGTCTGTGTGGCTCATCTTACACCTATACATTTCTTTGTCTGGGTTAGGGGTTAGCAGTTCCTTCATTGGGGTGGTAGTTGTGGCAGAAATTTAGCAAGGTAGTTTGCCATCCCTAATATTTTGCTTACATCTGCCTTTGGTTCTGGCATGTGGAGAATAGCCCTGACCTTGCTTGGGTCTGCATCCAGGCCTCTTTCTGTGATCTTGTGACTAACAAAAAGCATTTAAGTCTTAGCAAACTCACTTTTTTCATTCAGTTTGAGTTCTTCAAGACATTTTTCAGATGCTGGTCGTGTTCAAGTTTATTTGGGCCAAAGACAAGAATGGCATCTGCATGATGTTTAACACCACTGAAATCCTCCAGTTGAGACAATCGTAAATTCCAAATGAAAGTCTATTGAAAACGTATCTCCTGAATGGATTAATGATTGTGGTGAGTGGTCTCCACTCAGGGGAATCTGCCAAAAGCCTGATCAGGTTTTGTGAAGATTGTGGCGTCTGACAGCATGGCTAAAGATTGATCGACAGCTGGAAGAATGTGATGCTCTCTCTTGACCAATTTGTTTAGGTTTGGGAAGTCCACACATGTACAAAATTTACACAGTGTCACTGGAGATGAATATTCAACTCAATGTGATATGGGTAATTCAGCAATTCTAGACCACTGAACACAGATTGAAACTTTGCAATGTATTTGATGATTCAGTTTGATGAACGAGATTCAGGGCCTATATAGCAGGAAGACCCAGAAGAGATTTTGTAAGTTTGTTTACAACATACTTGAATGCTGCTGTGTCCTTTTGCACTTATTACACACTGAAAACATCCTTTTACATCCAGAATATAATTCCATGGGCCGTGCAGTACTTTTGGGAGTGTTTTTAACTCACCAAACGTTTTTGCTTTGAAAACGTTCTCTGAAACGGGTGCTCCAAGTTCAAATTTGATAGGATTTCAATTTACAGTGACAGTCTCTGTCCACTCCGTTAAAGGTCTCTGTTGATACCTCGCAGAGAAAAGCACAATCCTCGCCCTCAGAGGATTCTCTTGTTGTGAAACAATGTCCAGTTTGCACATCCGACAACGACATACAGCTGCGAAATGGGCTTTTTTTATTACATATTTGAGACTCATACAATCCTTCCAAGTATGTCCCGTTCCGCATCTACCTGTCATTTTGTGTTGATTTTTTTTTTCCCCTTTTCCATCATGATGTAATTTCTGAATGGTTAGTTGATGAATTTAGGTATCTTATGTGTAGTTATCTTCTAGTCATTGATTAGCATGATATGATGTCATGATAATAAGTTTTCCTGGGCTGGAGTTTATATAAATTGTAGAGTTGGTGATGTCACTAACCTGGGAGGAATGTTATGTAGTCCCTACCAGCCGTTTGTTGTAGTCCTTGAAAAGCAATTTCATGAAAATATCTCCCTTTGCTTTGAACTTTGAGCGTTGTTACTTTGCAGATGTTGTTTATGCTCAAACAGCAACATACACTGACTAAAGTTATAAAAGTGAAATCATAATCAACCACCCATTTCAATGGGACTGTTTTGCTGTTTGAGACTTTACTTCTGATCGCATCCATATTGATGCTGTGAGTGGACGTTTACTCAGATCCACGTGACACAGCTTGCTGTTTCATTTTGACTTACTTTATGGATATAGCTTCAGGTAATGTTAGCTCTGGATCCAGTTGTAAACGTTCCAACAGTCCCGTGTCTCTGCTCCAGTCCCGGTCTTGGATTAATTCCTCTTTTAATGTCCTAAAGTTGCAGTGTTCTGTCGTTAAAGCCTCTGCTTTTTCACCATCATTTTGTTTGCCGACACAGTTGATGTCACCACACATTCATGTTTCTTTCTCTCTGACTCACCTAGAGGTAATGTGCCCAAGATATTGTCTGCATCGTCTCTTATGGCATAGAACAAGGAGTTGATTTGGTATTCCTCAGGTTCCTGATGCTATTGTTTATTGAATGTTTGTATAATATCAATATAACATTTGCAATCGTGCTCATATGCGTAAAACATCTCTTGTGCTCTTGTGATATTGCGTTATTATATGTTGTAAAGTACAAATCTCATACAAGTATTTTGAATTTTGAGTGTGTTCCTATTCATTTTGGGCTTTTTTTTTTGAGACAATCCTGCATTGATTTTGAACCTGACACCACAGTAACAAAAGAATCACATTGGAAATAAGTTATTGGTTGCATTTTAAGCAGTAAGTTTCAAACATCCGATGAAGATCCGATGTTTAAATATGCTAACATAAAGATATTTCATTTCAAAATAACTTGCACTGTTCAATGATATAATTAGAATTACAAAGCAAAACCACTGATTTCCAAAAACACGATGGGTTTATTTCTCTGTGTTCTCATATATTTTATGTAATGATGGAATTAAAATTGTTCTCTTGCAGATCCATTTTTTAAAATAATTACATTCCCTATCTTCCCAACCTGATGAAGTCATCATTGCACAAAAATCTCTATATAAAGACGGATGCTGATATCTCCAATACCTGAAACAACAATGTAGAAGACTGTTTATTTTCCAGTTATGAGTATGATATCATATTTACTAGAGAAATTCTGGCTAATGATTAATTTCAATGATCTCTCACCTTTTTGTTATTGTGTTGCCATCGGTCCATTTCCATACTCTCTCTGTTTTCTTCAGACCAATCCAAAAATGATCATTACCTGCAACCTTCTGCAAAAACTCCTGACAGAACAGTAATATATAGTATAATGTACAGTATGTACTAAATGTACTGTAGTATAATAATAATAATTACAAAAACAGAAATACACCTTTCTCTCACTAAAACAGACCGACCTATGTGTGTGTCAGTGTGCACAAACTTGCTTTCTCACTCACTTGTTCCTCTTTGCTGTTTATGATCACCAGATCTGCTCCTCTCTGTTGACAGTCTCGTCTGCTGTCAATCCATGTCTTCGTCTCAGATGAAATATAATAAAAACTGAAGTTGTAGTAAATCCATTTAAAGTTTTCAGCACGCTGATCTGTTAATACACCACTTTAGATATTAGTTTACACAATTTAGCTTTGTTCGTGTTGAAATTTATGAACTGAGACTTGATGTTTAAGTCAATGCTTATTTTTATTGACATGGAATGATGGAAAAAAAAGATACATTTAAAGATTTATTGAGAAAATCACAAAATTACCTTGTTCATAAAGGACATGTTGGATTTCATCAATCTTGTTATTTATCTGTTCTCTTTCCTCAGTCAGATTTTTACTGTGGTTCAGTGTCTGCTCATATTTGGTAAGTATCTGCTCTTTTTCCTCAGTCAGATTTTTACTGTTGTTCAGTATCTGCTCATATTTGGTAAGTGTTTGCTCTCTTTCCTCAGCCAGATTATTAATGTGGGTTAGTAACTGGTTTCTCTCGGTGGTGAAATACACACAGAGCATCATAACAGCAGTCAGCAGAAGAACACACAGCAGACACAAACACACTTCAACTGCTCTGTGCCTTCTGTTCTTCACTGAGACACTTCCTGAAGACGACAGACAAGATTAAATTAGTCTTCACACTTCTACTAAATTCTGATGAACTTTCTCACAGTTTTGCTCAGTCACTTTGGCTCAATTCTCAAATGAGTTCAGATCTCCGAGTTTCTTATTCAACCAAATTTGGATTTCTATTTTATTTAAGCAAATTCCACCTGTTTAAGTACAAACGTTTTGGTGCAAAATAGTAATAATATCTTAATACACATGGCCTGTTGAAGTTGCTTCTAATTAAAATAGTCATATTCAACACATCTTTCATCATGTGAATCATTCAGTTATCAAAATCTGTCAGAAATACATGTCATTTCTAACAAAATATTTATGACAAGGAATGTTTGTGATGGTGAAAAAAACATTTTGACCTTAATAAATGATTTGGGTGAGTAACTGCTTTTTGTGGACATGATGTCCCATAAAAGATTTGTGACAATTGAGTTTAGAGAATGTAAACACTGTTTAAAAAAATAAACTAAAGCAACTGAGAAAAACGCAAGCGATACTACAATACCTCTGTCTGTCATAATGTGTTTCAGATGAATTACGTTACCAGTGTGTTGAAGTGGCTGATGTCTCTCTGTGTTTGTCCTCAGATCAAGATGTCTTGTATCTGCACTGTCATAGATATCCACCATCATCTCCACTCTTTCTCCTTGGTCCATTTCCACAGTGTCAGTCATCAACATCACATCATCATATATAACTTCAGTTATCTCTGATCTCTTGATGTCATTCATTATAACACTGTGTTAATGCTGTTGTTTGTTCCAGTTTCAGATTGTTTAGCTGCAATGATTTGCATTTCATTAGCCTGCTTTTAAAACTGAAGTCGGAAATGAACTCAAAATGGAAACTGTTGGTGGTCGATGTGTGAGTCATGTGACATTTGGGTTGCCAGGACAGGAAGGATTGAGATGTGCCTAATTCACGCCAAGAGTCTAAAAACAAAACTTTTATGATCATAAAAAGTTCAGGCAAGCATCTCATAATTTTTCTGTGTCTTTTCTCTAAAACTGAAGAGTGTAATTTCTGCAACATTAAATAATCACAACTGTTTCCTCAAACAATCCCCCCTTGTGTCAGTGGTTAAGAGTCTGAGGCTTTGATGAGGAAGACAAATACACATCCGCGGTGATCCATCAATCAGAGTCACAGAGGAGAATGAGGGTTCATCAGTTTGACTGCTGAACAGGAGGAAAAAGACCCTCTTCAGGACAAGACACCAGACGTGAAAAAAAGTATATTTATGCATAACACTACGGACAGGATTCAAACCGGGCCGCTGCCACACCACCGCACTCTGTTTACCATTATGCCACCAAACAGATACTATTTACAAGTGCTGCTATAAGCAAATAGATTTGTCCTTTAATGACAGCAAAAAATATATAGATTTAAAGACTGTGAATAGCAGAGAAATGTCTCAATGTAGGCGCAGCAAGCAGTGTGTGAAAATAAATGTGAACTGCAAGCCAAATCAGCTAAAAGTTTGTGTGGGCATACTCGTGAAATGTGAAACGTGAAACGGCCTGTATAGAACTCAAAAGTGCGTTAAACTTGATACTGTTGAAGAAATAAAGCCAGCAGACACAACATTAAATATAATCTGCAGTCTGTTTTGCTTCATTTTTACCTGACATGAACTTTCATTAACGTTGCAGGAAAAAATTGCATAAACTGGCAAAGTTATTCTTCAGTATCCTTTTGTGCAACTACAACTATAGAAACCTCTGTACAGAAGGGTGGAATCCCGGGAGTGTGAGGCTGTTTGGAACTCACAGGAGTCAGCACACAACTCTTCAGGGAGGCTCGTGAAGGAAAAAGAGATCTCTTTGCATTGTGGTTGGACCTTGCTAATGGTTGTGGATCCACACCTAATCTCACTGTGTTTGCCCTCCAGCGACATGTTTCCAGAAGAATCACAGATCTTATCCTGGATTATTACAGCAAGTTCAGGTTAAGAGCCACCACTGGGTTAGGTACATAGACTGGCTTGAGAAAGGCAGGTTGCACCACCTCAGTCATTCTCTTCGCTCTCACTATGAACATGATTGTGAAGTCAGGAGGGTGCAGAGGCCCTTTGATGAGATCTGGAGTGTAACAGACCCCAATATAAGCCTTCATGGATGACCTGACTGTCACCACAACATCTGTCCCAGGCAGCAGATGGTTTTTCCAGGGGCCAGAAAAGCTCATCATCTGGTCAAGGATAAACTTTAAACCAGCAAAATCAAGGTCACTAGTGCTCAAGAGAGGGAAGGTGGTGGACAGGTTCAGATTTTCACTTGACGTAGTCAAATGATGTCCAGCTCCTCCTCTCAGGACGTCTGATGGGGTGGAGGGATAGAGTTGTGGTTTTGGGTTGGGTTAGGGTGTGGTTGGATATTCTAGCTCCACCCATTAGGGCCAAATTGCATGCTCCTCTTCACTGCATATTCAGCGAGGATCTAGTGGACAAAGTACATGTCTGGACAAAGTTTTTTGTTTACTCATATCAATATCAAATTTATTTCTATAACACAGTTCCAGAAGTAGGATTGAATGTGAGATTGAGGAAGTGCACTCAATAATGTCCACAATGGTTTCGGACACCCAAATGACTGTTCCCTCAAATATAGTGCTCAATTTAAAGTTTCTTGGCTTTTAGCATGAATATGTTAGTCTTACTATTATCTATAAACACAGAAACCAACATCAGTCGGATTGGATGTTGACGTCAACCTGACGTTGCGTTCAGACGTCAATCTTACGCCTGGTTCTGACGTCCACCCGACTTTAATTTCCAACCAAAACGCAACCCCTGCAACCAAAATAATCCCCTGACTGACGTTACTACTTTCTACTCAAGGACCTTGACAGAAATGTAATGAAGAAAAAGTTTATTTGTCTTTCAAATGTAGTGAAGTTAAAGTAAAACGTTTCCAGAAAAAAATAATACTCAAGTAAAGTACAGATCAAAAAGTGTACTTAAGTATCAAGTAAATGTACTTTGTTACGGTCCACTTCTGTGAAAGCTCCACCCATTTGTTCATGGAGTGAGGAGCTTCTCCAGTATTTACTGATTTTGGAACTCCACAAATGGCTTCCTTATTCTATGATAGAGTATATTAAGCTGGGATAGCAGGAAAAAAATATTTTCATTTCCAAAAAAATGACCTACATCAGCTTTAATTCTATCAGCATAAGACACTGAAAACATCAGAATGTCAAGATAAAACAAAGAAAAAATATATGTTTAAACAATGAAAATGTGTCCAGGAAGTGTTTATTTACTATTTTCAAATGGTAAGAGTTACAAAAGATTTTTTTGTTTAATTTTATGCTCTGATTTTACACTGTCGGGTTTCCCACTTGCACCATATACAAGTTTCACTTTAAAGCACAGGAAGCAGCTCGTTTAACATGTGCAACTTCACACCATGAAATTCACATTTATGCAGGGAGATTAAATTACTGTTTTAAATCTTTACAACATCTTTGAAAATGTCCCAAGAAATATCGTCCAGCTTTTCTTTGAGAACCTAAGGTATAATTTGACACCTGCGGGCAATACTGAGTCCAACATTTGATCTGTGCCCACACACTGCAGCTGTTAGCAAAGAAACATGGAACATGTTAACAGCAGATGCCAGAAAGATTAACTTTATCCTGTTCTAGTATCGTTCTTCAATTCCACATTCATTTGTTTATCCATAAATACAAGCTCACAGTCTCCTGTAATCAAATATAGGAAATATTTCATTCACTGGAGGCATCTAAAAATCAGTTTCCTGTCTTCATATTTCACTTCACATCCCTGACAGAAAACAAACAAACAAACCCATTAGCCCACACACATACTAGCAACTGCACACACACACACACACACAAAACACACTTGTTCTGTCTCTAAAGGCCATTTATATAAAAGAAACACCCTCTATTCTTTCACTTTTCCTCCACTATCTGAAAGCTCCACCCTCTTGCTTCTGCTTTTTGTTTCCCGCTTAACAGACATGTGTTTTGCCCGCCTCATAATCCCTGTAGCATGTTCAGCCTGTCCACATTATGCAGTAATCTTCAGATTAGATATACGGTAATTCACTCATTTATCAACTGCTTGTTATAGTGTTTACTTCCACACTAAAAAATGCTGGTTTGTTTCTAACAATGTTTGAGTCAAATATGACCCAAAGATGGCATAAAACAACTCAGCATTTTTCAAATACATTTATATGAATTCATTCAGATGCTTTTATTCAGAGTAAGAAATGGTAAAACAAGTAATATGTCAAATGTGTTAACCTTTTTTCCAAGTTACACACTCGCATGTTGTGGTCAATTCTACAAGGAAATAAAGTTTTAAGCTCATTTGTGGTTTCATCAAATTTAAAGGGATACTCCACTTTTTTTGGAAATAGGCTCATTTTACCACTCCCCCAGAGTTAAACAGTTGAATTTTACCGTTTTAAAATCGCCTGAATATATTCAAAAATGGTAAAACTCAACTGTTTAACTCTGGGGGAGTGGTAAAATGAGCCTATTTCCCAAAAAAAAGTGGAGTATCCCTTTAAATGTTTTTTCATGTACATATAATGCACGTTATTGTTATTGATAATAACCACACCCTTTATTATGAAGGACAAATATTAGTCCAGGCTAAAGACCACTAATTACCACAGATTAGCATAGTCTCTCTGATAATGATAATGTCCTGACCCAAAGCTTATTAGGGAGCTTAATCATTAGTGGGCTGTTTAGGGGCTGATGACCCTCCATATGCAGAGCAGTTTCTTTTATAAAGGTTTTTTGTTTTAGTTTTGCTAAATACCAAATTAACGCAACCCATGCAAAAAGAAATACATTTTACTAATGTAAATAATTTTATATATCATTTAACAAAGTAATATATAAATAGTTTATAGATAGATGGATAGACTTTTTTTTAATTCTATAGTACTTGATATTTCAGGGAGTTCATATTTTAGGTGAAGATTTTTTTGTGTCTTTTTTTAAAGAGCTGTTTAGTGTTGTTGTGTCTGTGTGCACAACATAGTTTGAGCCAGCAGTACAAAACCAGAATCACAAGGAAATCAGCTTTAAACATGCATTTCCTGTCAGTCACTTGCTTTGATTTTGAAATGGCCTAGGACAATAAAAGACAAAGCAACCGGCCTCAGCCCAGCGTTAACAGGAAAAACAGCGCACATGAGGGAATGTTGCAGACATTCCAGCCGAATCCATGAGCTTTAACGGATGACAAAACAAGAGGCGTACACGATAAATTCATAATACACATTTTATTCATAAAGTACTGCATAAAAGAATCATACAGCAGTGTTTTCCAAACATCAAAATAAAAGTTGACGAGCACATTTCATTAGCTCACACTCGCACGCACAGTATCTCATCTGTCGAAGCTGCCACCTATTAATTGGCCGTCCCTTTTCCCCAACAACATTTGTCAACTGCCATCTGTCTGTCTGAGTTTACCCCCCTCCATGTTTTCGTCTCCCCAAAACACCCACCTCCCCCCTCGAAAGTCTTTAATCAAGCTGCAACACTTCTTCTCATGTTAAGCTCCCATCCCTCCCTCCCCTATCTTGACAGTTTAGATAAGACAGACTGGCCACCAGGGTTCTTATCACTGCCCCTTACGAACAAGTGCTTAATGGACAAAAAAAAACAAAAAATAACCAAGCAACCAAAGGGTAAAGAGCATGGTTAAATGCACTAATACAGTTTAAAAAGTAAAAAGTTCATAAATTGCTCTCAAAGCCTTCCTTGGGCCACCCACCACCCAGCAGCTCCAAAGTAACAGTCTGTAAAGCCAAATCTCTGGGGCCGTGAGAGATGCAGAGGCAAGCAAAAAAGCCCTCGCTCGTCCTCCTCAGTGTACATTTAACTGTGTCCCGCACGTCTGGAGCACAGCTGTCGGAGGGGGGGTCTGCTTTCCAGACGCTGCTTGTGGTCTCAGAGACAGCAGGACAAACAGACTGCATCAAGTTCTTCACAACCAGAACGCTCTCCTTTATATTACAGAGTACCAACGCATAGTCCCGGGACAGGAGAAGCTGGTTCCTCAAGTTCCCACAGTCAGATACAAAAGGAAAGTCTTCTTGTCTCCAACAAACAGAGTTACCTTTGAGTTCTTGTGAAGGATGTAAGAGTTCGAGGGAAGTTGTTGACTTGTTACCCCAATTCTGTGTCACCCTTCCACCCACCTCCTCACACTTTAGTAGCCAGCGACTGGGCCTCGGTCTTCTGTGAAGAGAGGGAGCTGGCGGGGCTGGCGTGAAGGGCTTTCTTCAGGTTGAGGAGGCAGAGGCACTGAGAGCGGAAGCGGAGGTCAAAGAAGGCGTAGAGGAGCGGGTTGAGGCAGCTGTTGACGTACGCCAGGCAGGTCGCGTAGGGATGGGCCATCAGCAGGAGGTTCAGGAAGGTGCAGGAGTCAGGCGCTAGGTTCAGGTACGAGAGGGCGTCCATGGTCTTGACGACGTGGAAGGGCATCCAGCACACAGCAAACACCACCACCAATGTGGTGATGATCTTGAG